TTGTGATGTACATCTTGGATAGGACTTGGTTCTTTGGTTCTATCCACCAGTTGGTGATTGGATTAATGCAGCTGTGAATGTGTGTGTGTGTGTGTGTGTGTGTGTGTATATATGCCTAGCTGAGAAATATACACTTTAGTTAAATTTATCATTTATCATGCGTGTTCTTGTTGACTGGAAACTGTTTGCGTGTGTCATGAAGACGTCAGTGGAGAATACACCCTTTCCTGAACTCTATGAAATTAGTCTGAGTACTCATTCCTCACATCCACTTATGAAAGAAAACAGCGCAAGATGACTGAACCCTCTTTCACATGCTCTTCCATGTTTGCTCGCGCGTTCTCTCTCTCTCTCTCTCTCTCTCTCTTTTAGAGTGCACTGTGCAAAGTTTGCATCTGACAGCTAAAAGCCTGATGTCTGGTCAATTATTGATCCTATCTGAGTGTTCCTCATGCTCTGGAGAGAAAGAAACCTCTGGCCATCTTTCTCTTATCTATCTATATCGCTCCTGCCCGCATCCCTCCTTTTCTTGACATTTCTCTCCATACTTCTCTTCAACCCGGTCTTTCTTTTTCTCCCTGTCTCATTCACTTTTTTCCTCCCTCCCACACACATCTCCCCCCTCCGTCTCTTGGTGATGTGTAAGAAAGTGCGTCACTGATGGCGGTTTATTCCCGGCATTCCCTCAGGCCTCCAGTGACTCCTCAGCTGCGCTTTCATTAATGATCCATTACTGATAAACTGTCAACAAGCACTCAAACCTGCATGCACACGCACAAGAAGACAATGCTTTCATGTTCTGCCATTCCCACATAATCATACATAAACACACTCATGTGCTCGAAGCCCATCTTCAGCTTGAGAACATGAACAAGTGCATGGTTATTCACATGGGTGCTAAAATCTATTTTCTCATTTTCTTAGACACGCACCCTCGTGCAATAACATATGCATATAATTATGAAGCCCTCACACATGCATGAGTATTCATTACATTTATTAAACATGAACTGTCTGTCTACACAAGACAAAAATAGTAATGTTTACAGAAAAGGAATGTAAAATACTACTGCAAAACAAGTTAATTGATTGCAATTTTCACCATATACAATCAAAAACAATGATGTTAACAAAGACAAATTATGCAATTTTGCTGTAAAATACTATGAAAGATAAAGTCTATAATACATTTTATTTATTTTTTTATTATATAATACATGTACTTATACTGTAAAATATTTTTAAAATTGTTTTTGTAAATACAAAAAAGGTCACCTGGTAATTAAGTCCTTTTCCTGATGTTAGTAGGTCTGTATTTCAAGGTACAATACAGATTTAATTCATAAATGTAAATAGCTTTTATTATTATATCAGTTATTATATACAATGTTGTGGATGCATTAAATTGATCAAAAGTGACAGTAAAGAATTTTACATTGTTTTGAATTTTACAAATAAATGATGTTCTTTTAAACTTTGTTCATCATTTGTTCATTTTCGCAAAAAATATTGTTTTTCAAACACAGTTGTTTTCAACATTGACAATAAAAATACATATTTCTTGAGCACCAGCATATTAGAATGATTTCTGAAAGATCATGTGACACCGAAGACCGGAGTAATGCCTGCTGAAAATTCAGGTTTGCCATCACATGCAGAAATTACATTATAATATTCAACTCGAAAACAGCTATTTTAAATTGCAATAATATTTAACAAAATTACTGTTTTTACTGTATTTTTTATCAAATAAATGCATCCTTGCTGAGCATATAGAGGCTTCTTTCAGAAGAATGAAAAGCCTTGTGCATCATCACCATATTTTTTTTTCTGTGGAATTTTTGGCAACCACCAAATGCCGCCAGTTTTACCATATGCTTATTAATGGTATTTTGTTACATTGTATCAACACAGCAGCCAACATGTGTGGTCTTTATTACTTACTGTTATCCTTCTTTTCCAGGTGGTAGGTGTCATTTGAGCCCCCCGTGCAGGCTAATAGACCCACCCCCTGCTGACCTCATCAGGCCCTTTAACCTCTGTCTCTAAAAAGCAAATCGACAAGCTGCCAGCTCCCATTTAATGGCCAGCACTGATATTTACATCATTTCATTTAACCAAACCCATCCCTTTCACACCTCACAGTTCATTACCTACAAGAAACCAGCCCTGAATTAAACGTAGGACACAAAAAAGAGGTTTTAAATATGAAATGCTCACAGTGTCGCTGACTCACCATGCTTACAGTAAGAGAAGGTCTTTTTAACCCTCAGAACCGTCAATTATTTAACATCTTTTATAATCATTCTCTGTACGTGGCGTTTAATGTATATGCATGCATTAATACTGTTACATCAGAAGAGAAGCTCTGTGACAGATTACATAATGCATTTAAAATGGTCTTTCTAAAGGAGGTTGCAGGTTTGATTGTTTTGTAATTGTTGCATAATCACAAGAAAAACAAGCGCACAAAAGGAGAGACTGTGTTTTATGGTAATAAATGTCACAATGTGCTAAACTTTATAAATCATAATCCATAAATAAAGGATTTTCTCAATCCTTTAGCACATGACCTCATCAGAGGAAGTGGAAAGAGCACCGTTTACATAAATTATTCTGATCACAATATGAGACAATACGCTCTAATGCAGGGATCCCAGCAGAAACAGGAATTTAAATTGTGAAATTCTGAAGTAGAACTCATGCTAATGACAGATTTTTCATTGTGAACATATTCATTCATCTTCCTTATGGTACAGCTCCAAGACATTATGGAATTATGCAGTTTCATGTGAATCAAATCAAAACTCATACATCCTTCCTAGAGGTCTTGAGACATGCTTTTATAATGTTATAAAACACGACGCTCATGCGAGACACTGAGAAGTGGTCATAAAACAATTAAAGGGATAGTTCACCCAAAAATTTAATTACTCACCCTCATGTCGTTCCAAACCCATAAGACCTTCGTTCATCTTCAGAACAAAAATTAAGATATTTTTGATGAAACCCTGCACAGACAGCAAAGCAACTGACACGTTGAAGGCCCAGAAAGGTAGTAAGGGCATCGTTAAAATAGTCCATGTGACATCAGTGGTTCAATCTTAATTTTATGAAGCTACAAGAATACTTTTTGTGCACAAAGAAAACTAAAATAACTTTATTCAACAATTTCTTCTCTTCTTAACGACATAATTTTCATTTTTGGGTGAACTGACCCTTTAAAAATGAGCACAGTGGCATGGAAGTTTATTAATTCACATTTCGCCGTTTCTGGGTCCAAACGCTCTATCAGATTCCAATAGCAAACAACAAATGGTGCTAATAAACACTCACAGAAAATTATTGGAGTACATTTTACAAAAAAAAAAAATCTTTCAGGCATTCTGCTTCAAAATGTTATTTTTAATTCAGTTACTTGCCATTTCCCTGTAATTATTTGTGAAATTCACTAGCGGTTTCTTTCAAATTTGAAAGAAATTTGTTTCAAAGTTAATCTACACCAATTTATTTTTAGTATAAAGCTAAAAAAAAAACAAGAAATTGATTCTACTATCTAAATCATTAAAGAACTGGTCTTTGGGACAGGACTTAACATACGGATACATAGATGGAAAAATTTTAAAAGTTTTGTAACTTATAACTTGACACACGTGAGACTCTAAAATCCAGACAGTCAAATATGTCTGTCTATCACATGTTTACATAGAGATGAGATTGAAAAGCAGTGCAGAGGAACGATAAAATCTCTTTCTGTCTGAACCGGCCCTTAGAGGGAGGTTGTGTAACCATAGCGATCTCTCCTTGAGTTCTCAAGCTACCATTAGTCACTGGCAATCAATGAGCTGTGACATAATCTTAAGTGTGTGTGTGTGTGTGTGTGTGTGTGTGTGTGAAAGACAGTAGTGCTGGTTCTTTTCTGGCATACACTTTAGCACTTTTTAGCCTGTAAATTTCTGTCCATCTCACTCAATCATTGCAGTTTTCTTGAACACAAACATAAACTCCAATCTCATATTCTCACAAATATTCTCCTTCCTAAAGTGAGCTCTGTTCTGTGTGATGTAACCCGTCTCTTCGTACAGATCCATACCCGCAGCCTACTGTCAAATGAATAAATAAATACCGTCCTCTCAAAACAAAGCATAAATATTCATTCATTGATGCAGCTTACATAAGACTCTCTAAGCCACCTGACACTCATAGATGCGTGTGTGCTATGATGAGAGACGTTTGATGTCTTTGAGGTTCGCTCTCTCTCTCTCTCAAGTGAGTCATAGAGATATTCTGCCACAGGGCTCACTAAGGGACGGCAGGTGGCCTTAAGCAGTCTCTCTCTCCATCAGTCCAGATGTCCTCCTGTTCACCATTTTGTCATCCCTCTCTTTGTTCTTTCTGTCCATTTTTTTGTGTCAGTGTCTCTATCCGTCTGTAGTTTCAGTCATCCTAATATTTCCAAATGTTCGCAGGTCAGTTACTCTAAAAGCTTCAGTGCACCCGCAACCTTGACTGTCACATTTAATAGAGACAATTTTCTGACATGATCATCATTTACTGACTGTAATTCTGAAGAGATTTTTTCTCGTACTCTATGTATTTGTCCAGTGGGTTTTATTTAGCTATAGTGCACCTGGAATCAGATATAACATAAAATGCAATTCATCATAAGGGCAATATCTTATTCTCCTTGTGCTTTTTCAAGGACAGGACATGTGAAAGCATTTTATTAATCCAAAAGAAAGATTTCAGAGAAAATACAAACCAAAGGTTTAAGGCAGTTCAACTTTAATGGTATTTTCTTTCATCTTTCCAACTTTTTAAATTGACTCGTTCTGAGACTGAAATTAAAAAGTTCTTGACTGTGAGTTTCAATTCTAATAACGTTTTAGATTAAACAGTTCCTGAACAATAAAAGCTTCAAGAACAAACGAAGATTTCCTGAACTCCTGACATTGAGAAATGCATTGCAGAATGCTGTTTGAAATTGCAGACAGATTCTAAATGATGCTTTTGCTCTTGAGTGCATGACACTGGTGAAAGGTCATTACAGTATTTTATTCTTGTTTGGATTTAGAGGTGTATGGTCCCTTCAAGGCAGCAGAAAAAGGTGAGGCAGAAGGCTTATCGCAGGAAGTGCTAAATCATCTTGTGGACAGAAACGGCTCTGCTGGATTTACAGAGAGTCAAATATTTACACAAGGTATGCTCTGACCCTCTGTCTCCACTTATTTTATTGCCTTTTTTAAACTTTCTTCAATATTTTTTTTTTTTTGTTTTTGGGGGGGAGCTGAAATGTTTTATATCCTTCCTGTGAAGCATTATAAACTGTTTTATTACATATTTTAGAGGAAGCCAAAATATTTATCCAAGACTGTAGATAAGAGATATTCGAGGGGATGTCCAAGCTGAAAAATGTATGACAATTTTAGGACAGTTTCCATTCAGAAAGACATTTACATTATCATCTTTCTTTTGTCACCACTTCTTTTTCCTCTTTTCATCCCTGCCTGTTTGTCTATGAATGGCGTAAACATGATAGGGAATAGAACAAGTTCCAGAGAGAAGGAAAAATAAGAAATGAAGGTAATGGTGAGGAGAAGGAGTTCAAGAGATAAAAAGGAGAGAAAAAAATAGAAGAGACATGGAGAAACTATCAGGAGCCTCAGGCAGAAGAGCTCACGTCAGCAGTGTAGATACAGTCGAATCTAAAAATGTTCTTCATTCACATGGAAGAGCTGATGGACGTCACTTTCTATTCCATAATACCATAAATAACTCCAGTCAATGTAACCAGCACAAGGAGGAAATGTACATCATACTTTATTTATTTTACTTATTTACTTTTATTTATGCGTATGTCTATGTATGTCTATGTGTGTGTGTGTGTGTGTGTGTGTGTGTGTATACATATATAAAGAGAGAGAGAGAGAGAGAGAGAGAGTAAATATTTGGGGGTGAACTGTCCCTTTCAGTAACATTTCTTTATTAATGTTCATTGTTGTGTAGCTTGGAATGTCATTTGTGAGCCTAATGTAGAAAATGACATCAGGCAGGTAATGTCACAGCCTGCTCTCGTGTCTAACAATTTACGCTTGGCAGGCCAGAATCTGCTTCTATGAATAATGAAACAGTGTGTTTGCATGTGTTTACATACAGTGTTGGAGATTGTGAATGTACAAGTATGGAAAAAGACTAGTTATTCTGTGAATTCTGAAGCATTGAGACTAACAATACTCATTTTGCCTAAAGACAACCTGTACAAAATGGTCTCATCTTTCTTCTGTCCTTCATGTTTTTCCTCCTTCATTACTCTCTGTCTCATTTCCAGTTGGTGTTTATCAATTTCCAAGACCCTCACGCTGTTTTGTTAAACTAATATTTGTCATTCTACCAATGTGTATGCACACACCCACACACATCTGGAGGCTTATTATACAGACTCAAATTTCCTCTTCTGCGCTGCATGTTGTTCTAATAGTTACACAAAGATCTCTTGAAGTAAACTGTTGACAGCTATTAGTCTTGTTTATGTGGGAAACGCATATTGTGTATCCCAAAAGGACAGGTTATAAGCACTATGTTCATTTATTCATTCACTCACTCACTTAGTCTAATGTAATGCCATTTTTGTACTCCTATAATTCCTCAATAATTCATATGCTTTTTCCTCAAAAATGTAGTCTATAATTCTTATTTTTATAGTTCTTTCAACCAGAGTTTCTGTGCCGTTCTCTTACGGTTATGGTTATCTTTCAGTTTTGATCTTTCATAAGGCTTTTAAGTTCAGAAATCGCAGTTATCCTAAAAATGCCAGCTTCATTTTTTCTGGTCTCTCTCTTCTCTGTGAATGCTGGAAGCCTCCTGTAGTTGTGAGGTACTGTGGTGCCATTAGTAATCTACAGCTGAGGTCTGGAAATAAAGAGAAAGACACAGACAGACAGAGAAATCAGAGAGACAGACCAAGACTAGAAATGAAAAGATTATGAAAAGACGCCGCTATTTTTACTTAGTGCTTTTCACCTTGAATGTCTGTATGTGTGGCTGAGACTTTCAGATTGCAAAAAAAAAAAGATTACAAAGGATGCTAGCTGTGAAAACAAGTGAAATGGAAGTCTACCTCATAGAAATCTCTCCATACAAAAGGATGCAAGCTTGCCTTTGCATCAGTGTTTAAAAAAAAAAAAAAAAAAACGCGAGCTGCCATGCTGTTTTTTTTATCTGGTCATTGTGAATTTATCTCACACATACACTGCCGTTCAAAAGTTTGGGATCAGTAAGATTTTTTATGTTTTTTTAAAACGTTTCTTCTGATCATCGAGGTTGCATTTATTTGACCAAAAATACAGAAAAAATATATTGTGAAATATTGTTACCATTTAAAATAACGGTTTTCTATTTTATTATACTGTAAAATAACATTTATTTATGTGATGCAAAGCTGAATTTTCAGCAGCATTACTTAAAAAATAAAAAATAAAAATTACCGACCCCAAACACGGTAGTGTATATTATTACAAAATATTTCTTTTTTTAAATAAATGCTTTTATTAATCAAAGAATCCTAAAAAGTATCAAAAAATACCAAAAACACACACAAAAAAAAATATTAAGCCGCAAAAACTGTTTCCAATATTGATAATATATCAGCATATTAGAATGATTTCTGAAGGATCATGTGACACTGAAGACTGGAGTAATGATGCTGGAAAATTCAGCTTTGCATCACAGGAATAAATTATGATTTAAAGTATATTAAAATAGTAAATCATTATTTTAAATTGCAATAATATGTCATAATATTACTGTTTTTTTCTGTGTTTTTTTTTGGATCAAATAAACACAACTTTGATGAGCATAAAAGACTTCTTTAAAAAAGATTCAAAATCGTTCTGATTCCAAACGGTAGATTACTTGTGATTTAAAATCTCACAATTATGACTTTCTTTCTTGTAATTGTGACTTTACAACTCAGAATGTGACTTTATATCTCGCAATTGTGACTTTAAAATCTCACAATGTGACTATCTCTGTTGTGATTTTATATCTCACAACGTGATTTTATGTCAAAATGTGACAAATCTCGCAATCGCAAATTTACATCTTCCATTTGTGGAAATTAGGAATCTCAAAATTGTGACAGTTTCACAAAGAGACTTTAGAACTTGCAACATGACTATTTGTTATTTGAAACTTTTAAAATTGTACATATTTTTACTCTTCCGTAACTTTTGAATGGCTGTCAATAGAGGAAGTTGCCCCATAATTTCGTAGTAATGGCTTCTACCAGCAGGGTCTAACTAGACCATATTAAGCAGCCAAACTCTGACCCCTTGGTTCTTGCATGCTTGAAAACAGACCCTCCTGATAAGGGATGACCTGGCTTAGAAGATCCTTTTTTTTTTTTACCCATGAAAAATGCCATGCATTCCCCAAATAAATGTTTACAACAATTTACTTTGATATCACTTGCATCCACACACACATACACACTCCAGCCCAACACAAACACATCCAGATATATTCATAATATTCTGATTTGTCTGAATTAAGCAGTGTCATCTGTGCTTCTGGAAAACTTGCATAATCTAATTTGCATGACAGTGATAGTCAGTGTGTGTATGTGTGTGTGAGAGAGTGAGGGAAAGCGGGTTCCTTATCTCAGTATGGACAGAGATTTATTCAAGGCTTTTAAATGAGACACAGACTAACACAGACTTTTGCTGTAATCCTCTCTAATGAGAGTACGAATCTTCTCCCTCATCCAAATGCTTCAATGACAGCTGAAGGAAGAGCTGTAAATGGGTAAAAACTGAATGGATTTTTTATTTCAGCTAAAGTCTCTTTGACTCATCCCAAGGAATCATAGACAGTGAAAAAGAATCAAACATCATAATCATAAGAAAAAATCACATTATACATCAGTCAGTTCCTGCCCTCCTTTTTGATTGGTCAAGATCCAATTGTGATCAATACGTATAAATACACATCAAGCTTTTTTTTTTTTTTTTTGCTGTCGAGCCTTAACTTGTTTTTACATCATGGATTTTAAAAAAAACAACAAAAAAAAATAGAGACATGTATCTTAAAAGTTTAACCTTATTTTAACTTTTAATTAATGCTGTGAAATGCAAAATGCAAAAAAAAAAAAATGCTGCAAAAGACGCAAGGCATGAGTGCAATCGCCAAACATGTCCATTGGAATGCAAAAACACATTCTGTGTGAACGAACCCTTTTTGTTTGTATCAGTTTCATTTCATTTGAACAGAATATCAATTTTTGGCTGAACTGTTCCTTAAACTTCTTGTTTTTTATAAAAGCAATAGCACACCACTGGGTTGTTATTCTGAATATCAAATTTCAAATGAAAGATACTGTTTAACAGTGTGTTGACGTTGATTTGGTTACATTTATCGGCATGTGTAAATGTGTGTTTTGTCGACAGTGAGTCTCATTGGGCCCCTGATATGGGTTATGACTCAGGCGCTGGTCAGTTCTGTCACTGGAGAGCCATCATTCACAACACTGAACTGCTTAGACCTTGCCATCTGGAGCCTGTTAAAACACACTCCACCTTTCTCTTCCCATCAGTCGACCACTTCACCTCTCTCCAACCCCTTTCATTTCTCTCTTTTACGCCGTCCCATGCTGTCTTTCCATGTCCGTCTGCTGTTTGCCTTTCAGCCTGTCTGTCTCTCATTCTGTGTTTCAGCAGGACCACATGTATAAACATTCTCCAACGTCCATTATGCAAACGAAACGGCCTAAAAATGCCTGCAAGAAAGGAATAGTGGAAATGTGTGCAGAGTTGGAGAAAAAACATCCAACGTTGACAAAAAAGGCACTGTGCATGTGAAAGTTTAATAAAGTAATAACTCGATTGTCTAATCAGATATACTGCGTAAATGAACTTTTACTATGAAAAACTGACATTTAGCCATAACCTGCATTTACAGGGACATTGCACACGATGAATCAAATAAGCATTCACTGCCTAACTGAACTTATCTGCATGTTTTCCTTGAGTGAAAACACAAACCAACCATTAAATATCCATTAAAGCAACCCCACAGAGCCAAACTGGTTGTAACTGGTTAGTTTACCCTAAATTAGCACTATTGTGAGACCATAAATCTGATATTACAGGATGAATGGCTAACATTACATTGCAAATGTTAAAGTTTAGTATTGGAAACTGCAGT